TAAACAGCAGGGGCTCAATGCTGCGATTTCTGGCAAGAAAAACCTTTGAGCAAAGCTCCTGTTTCTCTCATGACTGCAGGATCAGGCCCCTGATAGAAAGCAGCAGTTTTGTTTCTGTTAATGAATAGTGCCACTGACAAAGGAAGGCCCTGAGCATTCAGATTTAATGCAACTTTGGTACTGGGAAGCTGATGCTCCCACCTAGCATCTGTAGTAGCAGAGTCTGAGGCAAAGAACACAGAAAAGAACTTCTTCATGGTACCTGTCCTGTTCTAGACCATCCTCCCTTCAGACAAAATCAAACCCATAAGTACGCCTCAGGGCTAATGTCTGTTCAGTTGGCAGAAATGTTGCTGCTGCTTGTCCCTTTCCCTTCCTGTTTCAAATACAGCCTCATTGCTTACAAATTTTAGCCCCAGGATGTAGTAAGAGTATGTCATAGTACTGGCTGAGACCGGAAGAAGGCTCTTGGATTATTAAGTTAGCTAGTTCTCAGGAGTAAAACAGCCCTGCTGGCAACCACTGCATCCTGTTTTGTGTTCTCTGAGAATACAAAAGTGAATACAGTTGTTCACTGAAGATGAACTGAATGCACCTGCAGTCACCTTGTGCAGACCAGATGATAAACTAAGTTTTGTCGAGTACTAGGAAGGGGCTTAAGAAATGTTTGTGGTTGAGAAGAGGACACAACTACTTTATTCAAACAGAACCTCCCAGTGAGGAAGGAACAGAAGATTGGTGTGACACTGAGGAACTTCCCACCATGGATTTCAAAACAGCTTATGGTAAGGGGGAGCATAGGTAGGATGAGCATTTCATGTTTCAAAGAAACAGCCTGAATTTACAGCAAAGTGTCAGGGGTGGGACAAATACAGGTAGTTCCATCCCCAGCCCTTGGACTCCTGCTGCTGACTGAGCTTGTTCAATCAAAAGCAGGCCTTGCACCCTAGTGCCATCAAACCTGAGATAGAAGGAGAAAGCTTGATCAGCTACAATCAAACCTGTGCTGCTAATTAGAGGAAGGGACACTGTTCACTGTAAGGCAAATTCCTAAGTCTCCAAACTGCTTGGCAAGATCAGGAAGGGTACGAGTGCACTACTTCCTTCCATTGCTGGGAATTACCAATTACTCTCAAATCCAGTCTGCAGGGAAGGTATCTTGAGGGCAGTCTTTGGTTTTACAGAAGAGGGAAAGGTGTGTTTCGGCAAACAGGTAACTGTAAATGCCTGACTGGGAGGTGTTCATCACAAGAGATCAGTGGATAAAAGCTTCCCTGAGTCACACGAGTAATACCTCTCTGTTCTTATGACTGGGGGAAATGAATCTTTACCTTACACATTCCATGGTGAGTAGAAGATACTAATTTTTGATGAGCCAGTTGCCAACTATTTCATGGGGTGGAAAAAGTTGTCTCCACAGCCATTTCTACTTAGGACAATGCAAGGTCTGCACTTGGAGCCTCAAGGTATCTGAGCAATCTTGTGTTTTCTACAGTCAATGAAACAAGAAACCCAAGATCCTACAGACCAGCTTTCTAGGCTATAGGACAAGACACGTGATCTTTCATTGCTTCTATGTGTTGAATGTGAAGGTGATGGCAAGGTTCACTTCAAATTGTTACTCAAATAGCTGCATGCTATCCTGGCAGAAGTCTTGGGATTCCTCAACAGCTGCAACCCCTGCACTGGGCACACTGTTCCTAAAGACCTACTGTATATATTAAAAATAACTCCAGAGCAATGCAGGGCTGCATACACAACTTCATGGGTCCAACCCATTGCTCCTTCCATCTTCTGTTGATGATGTGGGACTGAATGGGAAAATGCAGTCCATAAACGATTGGCTTCGAGGCTGGTGCTCCAGGCAGGGCTTTGGATTCTTTGATAACGACTGGTTTTATAGGGCACCGGCCTGGACGTTGGCATGTGGGAAAGGTTTATCGCACAGAGGTAAAAGGATGCTGGGGCACGAATTAGCGGGGCTCATTTGGAGAGCTTTAAACTAGATTTGAAGGGGGATGGGGTTGTAGCTGGGCTTGTCTCAGTGGGACAGCGCTCCGGAATTGATGAAGACTGGGAGGCCTCCTGTAATCCTAGGGTGAAATCGGTGTGCTCGGCTCACTCCCTGAAATGTCTGTACGCCAATGCACGCAGCATGGGAAATAAGCAGGAGGAGCTAGAAACCTCTGTTAAGTCGGGAGATTATGATCTGGTGGCAATTACAGAGACGTGGTGGGACAGCTCACATGACTGGAATATAGTCATGGAGGGCTATGTCCTTTTCAGGAAAGACAGGCCAGCCAGGCGGGGTGGTGGGGTTGCTCTTTACGTGCGAGAGCAGCTACAATGCGTTGAGTTCTGTCCGGTGACAGATGATGAGCGAGTCGAGAGTCTGTGGGTGAGAATTAAGGGGCAGGCTGGCAGGGGCGATACTGTTGTGGGGGTCTGTTACAGGCCACCGGATCAGGGTGAGGAAGTTGACGAGGCCTTCTACAGGCAGCTGACAGCGGCCTCACGGTCACAGGCCGTGGTCGTCGTGGGGGATTTTAACTTCCCTGATGTTTGCTGGAAGGACTACTCGGCAACCCAGCCGCAGTCCAGGAGGTTCCTCCAGTGTATGGATGATAACTTCCTCATGCAAATGGTGGATGAGCCAACCAGGAGAGGTGCGCTGCTGGATCTCATCCTCACTAACAAGGAGGGTCTGGTTGAAGGAGTGAAGGTTGAGGGCTGCCTTGGTTGCAGCGACCACGAGATGGTAGAATTCAGGATCTTGTGTGGTAGGGTCAGTAGAATAGCAAGTAGAATCGCAACCCTGGACTTTAGCAGGGCAAACTTTGGCCTCTTCAAGCGATTGCTAGGGGAAATCCAGTGGGCTAGGCTGCTTGAAGGGAAAGGGGCCCAAGATAGTTGGTTGACGTTCAAGGACTGCTTTTTCCGAGCTCAAGATCGGAGCATCCCGACACGTAGGAAGTCGAGGAAGAGGGTCAGGAGACCTGCGTGGTTAAATAGGGAATTGCTCGGTATGCTCAAGTGGAAGAGGAGAGTTTACAGGTCATGGAAAGAAGGGTTGGCCACTTGGGAAGAATATAAGGCTGCTGCTAGAGGATGTAGGAAAGCTGCTAGGATGGCTAAGGCCTCCTTGGAATTAAAGCTGGCGAGAGGGGTCAAGGACAGCAGAAAGAGCTTTTTCAAATACATGGCAGGTAAAACTAACACCAGAGGCAATGTAGGCCCGCTGATGAACGGGACGGGTGACCTGGTGACAGAAGATACAGAGATGGCAGAGTTACTGAATGACTTCTTTGTCTCTGTCTACTCTGCTGGAGGCAGTCCTGAAGAGCCCTGTACCGCTGAGACCCCGGATGAAGATAGGTCAACGGAGCGGTCTGCCTTAGTCGATGAGGAATGGGTTAAAGACCAGTTGAGCAATCTGGATATCCATAAATCCATGGGTCCAGATGGGATGCACCCGCGGGTGCTGAGGGAACTGGCTGAGGTCATTGCTAGACCGCTCTCCATCATCTTTACCAAGTCTTGGGAAACGGGAGAGGTGCCTGAGGACTGGAGGAAAGCAAATGTCACTCCTGTCTTCAAAAAGGGCAAGAAGGAGGACCCGGGTAACTATAGACCGGTTAGCCTCACCTCCGTTCCTGGGAAAGTGATGGAACACCTTATCCTTGGTGCCATCTTAAGGCATATCAAGGATAAGAGGGTTATGAGGGGCAGTCAACATGGCTTCACCAAGGGGAAGTCGTGCTTGACCAATCTCGTAGCCTTTTATGAGGAAATAACACGGTGGATGGATGATGGTAGAGCGGTGGATGTGGTCTACCTCGACTTCAGCAAAGCGTTTGACACGGTCTCCCACAGCATCCTTGCGGCTAAATTGAGGAAGTGTGGTCTGGATGATCGGGTAGTGAGGTGGACTGTGAACTGGCTGAAGGAGAGAAGCCAGAGAGTTGTAGTCTATGGGGCGGAGTCTAGTTGGAGGCCTGTATCTAGTGGAGTGCCTCAAGGGTCGGTACTGGGACCAGTATTATTTAATATATTCATCAACGATTTAGATGAGGGAATTGAGTGTACTATCAGCAAGTTTGCTGATGACACTAAGCTGGGAGGGGTGGCCGACACGCCAGAAGGCTGTGCTGCCATCCAGAGGGACCTGGACAGGCTGGAGAGCTGGGCGGGGAATAACTTGATGAAATATAACAAGGGAAAGTGTAGAGTCCTGCATCTGGGCAGGAACAACCCCAGGTTCCAGTATAGGCTGGGGAACGACCTGTTAGAGAGCAGTGTAGGGGAGAGGGACCTGGGGGTCCTGGTGGACGACAGGGTGACCATGAGCCGACACTGTGCCCTTGTGGCCAAGAAGGCCAATGGCATCCTGGGGTGTATTAGAAGGGGGGTGGTTAGTAGGTCGAGAGAGGTCCTCCTTCCCCTCTACTCTGCCCTGGTGAGACCTCATCTGGAATATTGTGTCCAGTTCTGGGCCCCTCAGTTTAAAAAGGACAGGGACCTGCTGGAGAGAGTCCAGCGCAGGGCAACTAAGATGATTAAGGGAGTGGAGCATCTCCCTTATGAGGAAAGACTGAGGGAGCTGGGTCTCTACAGTTTGGAGAAGAGGAGATTGAGGGGTGACCTTATTAGTGTATATAAATATATAAAGGGGGAGTGTCACGAGGATGGAGCCAGGCTCTTCTCAGTGGCAAACAATGAAAGGACAAGGGGTAATGGATACAAATTGGAGCACAAGAGGTTCCACTTAAACCTGAGAAGAAACTTCTTCTCAGTGAGGGTGACGGAACACTGGAACAGGCTGCCCAGGGAGGTTGTGGAATCTCCTTCTTTGGAGACATTCAAGACCCGCCTGGACACGTTCCTGTGTAACCTTATCTAGGTGTTCCTGCTCCGGCAGGGGGATTGGACTAGATGATCTTTTGAGGTCCCTTCCAATCTCTAACCTACTGTGATACTGTGATACTGTGATACTGTAACTATGCTACATTAAATTCAACAGAAATGAAGTTTAAACCAATTTCAAATGGACAAGGGATAAGAAAGTAAAGCTACTTCTGCTCTTGTTCTCCCTCTGTTTCTGATGCTAATTCCGCTCTCTTCCTATATTGGTCTATCAAACAACTGCATAAACAACTTGTTTCCCCACAGCTCTGCATTCACGGCAGGTTTCTAAGGACAGCACAGGAAGTGATAAGCCCACACTTTCAGATGGGAAACCACACCTTAGAGCTCACTCTACAAAGTGGGCTGTGGCCTTCTAACAGCTCCCTGGCCCAGCAGGTCTCTCCAGGCTTTGCAATGCCTCTTTCCTTGTGCTAGCCCTAGACTTGACCCTTTAGTGATCTGATTTAACTCACATTTGGTGTTGGGAATCCAGTCCTCAAGGAACCGGAGAAGCACCAGCATCAGAGGAAAGAAAGCTGTGGGAGTGCCTTGCTGAGAGCAGAGAAGCAGAACTGCCTCTCACTGCAAAGTGAGCTATCAATCAGATGGGCCCTTTCATCTGACTGCACCCTTCATCTCCTTGTGGGTGTAACGTGACAAGTACTTCTTTTGGCTGTAGAATTTAAATAGCTGGCACTGCTGCCTGGTTGTGCCAGCACAAGTCTGTGTTATGACTACACCCTAAGTGAATTATCAGGTCTGGTAGCCAGATGCACAGTACAGCTGCACAGGCTTGCAAAAGGCAGCAAAAAGGGACTCAGGCATGCATTCTGTTCAGGAAATGATTACTGTCTAAAGAAATGCACAGTACATTACAACATATGCTTTAGCCCACACCTTTCCCAAAACCATGCCCAAAGTGCACTCACAGCAGATCCCTTCTTGAAAGACTGGAGTCTTCTTGCAATATATTATCTAAGCTAACAGCCAGGTACTTGGAACAGGGAGGCTGGCAGCATCCAGTTACCTTTCTCTGAATGACTGTTGATGTCACCTGTAATTTCTGTATTTAAAATCTCACAAGCAAACTTAAGTTATGCATGTTTAAAATAAAAGGGGGGTGGGAAGCCAAATGTCTGTGGTCTGCCACCACATGCCAGGTACTCTGTGCTTCTAGCAATGGGAGGCTATACAAAGGTGCTGGTGAAAGCTGGCTTTGAGCCCCTTGCAATACTCTGCTTGAGTCTAGGGCTACTGGCTTTCAGAAGGTAGATTCTGGATCACTTATGGCAATCACAATTATAAATCATACTGTAGCAACTCTCATTATGCACAATGCCAGTCTGGGGTGAAGGTCTGTTCTATAGCTTTGGTCCATGTTTTGCTCTGTGACCAGCTCCAGCTGAACAATGTACCTGGAGGTTTCAATTGCTTTCTCAGCCTTTCAGAAATGCTATAGTCCACACGAATGTCACAGCTCAGTAAGTGATTCCCAGAGACTGCAGTAGGTGAAAGGTAGCACCCAAAGTCCAGCTTGTCTCTACGTTGTTCACTTTCTTTGTTAACTATAAAGGAAGAAAAAGAAGTTGTTCCTGACAGTTCTCTGGTTTTGTATGTTTCACAGATGACAGCAAATTCTTATAACAACCCTGGAAAGACTCGGTAGATAATAAGCCAGAGAAATCAGCTAATGCATGTTGATTGATACAGGGACTGGGAAGCTGTGCTTTGCAATTTAACTTTTCTGGTTTTCTCACCTGTAAGAGTGTGTTGTCCCTAAATCCAAATCCTTCCTTTAGCAAAGCAGTGATGTACACAAGATCCATGCAGAGGAAAGGACTGGCTGAGTTGTACTTCTCCATGTTATCACAGACTGGAGAAGGGAAAAAGAAGAGGGGATCTCAGATCTTAGCAAAATAAGAGCTTTTATCCACATCGTACACTTGAACTGACCTCAAGCCAAAACCAACTCAAACAAGACACCCACTTCTATAAACAGGTACATAGGACACATGGTGCATGCTACACAGCTGTTCTGTAATGCTGGGGAATAAAGCAGACAGTACTTCCCTTAACAGCAACATCATCCACATAGCTCTTTCGAAGTCTGAATCTCTGCTCAATTGATAACTGGCAGGGAGCTGGTAGATTACTCTATCAATCAAGAACACAGGATCATGTGTTTGCCTTGCCTAGTCTCCAAGGATGGCTCCAGTAACAGATTCTATCTTTCAGGATGGCAGCTTCATTCATTTTTTTCCAACCATATATGTCCAAGGACATGGACGAAGCTATTGCCCAGCCAACCACTGCCTCACTATAGCTAAGTCAAGATTCCCTAAGCAAGGGTAGCTATGACTGGGAAATGGATTTGCACTAGGAGTTGCCTTCTAGACCTACTGTTACTGCTCTGTTCTACAAACATCAAGAGCAGAGTTCCCTTTAGCAATTAATAAGCAGCATCCTCCTACTACTGAGATGAGAAAGAAGAAATAATTTAGGATCACTGATCTGATGTTCTAGAGCTAAATAAATGGTTTGATGGTGTTAGATAAAAGCCACATCTCTGGAAATAAGCTCTCTCAAAATACAGGGAGGAAAAACCAACCAACACATGCTCAAGCTTTAGAGCCTGATCCCCATATTCAAAACCATCTTGAGTTTCCAGGGAGATTAACTAAAAAAAAAAAACAACCCTGTTCTAGAGAAATGTCAGTCCTGAACTACATAATTAAGCACCTTCTGGTGGAAAATACAGTATAGTAATCATCATGAGGATGATCCCAACTCAGAGGTAATGTCTTGTTCTTAGCCACCAGTTGCATGGCGAGGGGGCAGCTCTTTTTTCACTGGAGGAGGTACAAAACTAGAACAAGCATTCAGGAAAAAAGCCAGGGGGGAGGGAAAGGAACACAGAAGAGGCTGTCAGACTCAACCTCTACTCTCTCCATTCTGTTAGAGATTAAAAAGGGTTTAAGGTGACAGGTTTATGGAAGTCCACATTCTTGTTGCAGTTTGTCAGGAGCTCTTCATACAGCAAATTCACTTTCCTTTCTACTGACATCTCCTCCCTTCCTGAACAGAACTGCAAAGCTGTTAATACTTTGTTTCCCCTCACTGCTCTATCAGTACTTTCTTGGGCACCAGTTGCAGTTGTTGGCTAATAAAAGGTAAGTGACATAAGTAACATAACATGGAAGGTGTAAGCAGAATGAATGTTAAATAGACCTTTTTTTTATCAAACTCACACGTACTGCCTATACATTCATGCTTTTGTTATTTCTCATCCACAGCAGTTTCCCGAATCTTGTAACAATTACCTTCTTTGGCTTTTCTTTCAAAATCTCTCACTTCCAAAACACCTCCCTGTTCATAATCTGAAAAGGAAGAGATAAGAAAACATCATCATAGACATGAAAGCATTTGTATTCTACACCTAAATTTACCCTAGATTGGAACTCAGTAGTGCTGGACAAGGAGTGAGATCTGTTAGTAACAGAAGGTAGAGCTGCAAGTACAAGTGGAGCTAAGAGCACAAGTGTCATCTACTGTATTCTGAACATTAAACTGCACTGATGGATGTATGTTCATTCCCTCAAGGCATTTTGTGTGTTTCCTTTCTCTACATCATTCCCTTTCCCTGCTCCCCAAGGCTCCAGCCTCCAGGGTTCCTCTATCTCAGCAAGTTTGCTGATGACACCAAGCTGTGTGGTTCGGTTGATACGCTGGAGGGAAGGAATGCCATCCAGAGGGACCTTGACACGCTTGTGAGGTGGGCTGATGCCAACCTCATGAAGTTTAACCATGCCAAGTGCAAGGTCTTACACCTGGGTCGGAGCAATCCCAGGCACAGCTACAGGCTGGGCAGAGAAGAGATTCAGAGCAGCCCTGCGGAGAAGGACTTGGGGGTGTTGGTCAATGAGAAAATGAACATGAGCCAGCTTCAGTGTGCGCTTGCAGCCCAGAAAGCCAACCGTATCCTGGGCTGCATCAAAAGGAGCGTGACCAGCAGGTCGAAGGAGGTGATCCTGCCCCTTTATTCTGCTCTCGTGAGACCTCACTTGGAGTATTGTGTGCAGTTCTGGTGTCCTCAACATAAAAAGACATGGAACTGTTGGAACAAGCCCAGAGGAGGGCCACGAGAATGATCAGAGGACTGGAGCGCCTCCCATATGAAGACAGGCTGAGAAAGTTGGGGCTGTTCAGCCTGGAGAAGAGAAGGCTGCGTGGAGACCTCATAGCAGCCTTCCAGTACCTGAAGGAGGTCTATAGGGATGCTAGGGAGGGACTCTTCATTAGGGACTGTAGTGGTAGGACAAGGGGTAATGGGTTAAAACAACAGGGGAAGTTTAGATTGGATATAAGGAGGAAATTCTTTCCTGTTAGGGTGGTGAGGCACTGGAATAGGTTGCCCAAGGAGGTTGTGAATGTTCCATCCCTGGCAGTGTTCAAGGCCAGGTTGGACGAGGCCTTGGGTGATACGGTTTAGAGTGAGGTGTCCCTGCCCATGGGAGGGGGGTTGGAACTTGATCTTAAGGTCCTTTCCAACCCTAACTATTCTATGATTCTATGATCTGGACTGATGGACATGCTCACAAGTAGTAGATTATCCCAAACCAATTTACCAATTAGGTTGGTGTCAACTGCTCGATCATAGTAATAGGAGAAAGCATAGAAGGAACGTCCACGAATCTCATCTGGTTGGTGTAGTTTCCCTTTGACAACCTTGAGTACTTCCAAGTAGCAAGGCTTGAATCCTGTTTCTCCTGTCAAGAAAGACATAGATGGGGTAAGCCAAAGAGGCATATCCAGGAGATGGAAAAAGTCAGTAGCAACAGGATGAAAAAGGGAAGAAGCAGAGATTAAAGCCTCAGTGGAATTAAGAAGAGTTTAGATATCCCTCTGTAATCCAGCATGGCACCTGCATGTAGGCAAGGACCCTAAATCACCAGCACCAAGAGGAACTGGTTATAGCAGATCATAGCAATATACACAAACTAGTGTAGATGTATGAAAAGCTTCCTCCACATCAGGCAAAACTTCCATTGTTCTGTGGTCATAGAATGGTAGAATGGTTTGGGTTGGAAGGGACCTTAAAGATCATCTAGTTCCAAGCCCCCTGCAATGAGCAGGGGGGGACATCTTCAATTAGTTCGGGTTGCCCAGAACCACATCCAGCCTGGGCACCCCTAGGGATGGTGACTCTACCACTTCTCTGGTCAACCTGATGACCTTTAGAGGTCCCTTCCAACCCAAGCTATTCTATGATTCTATGATACACTTTAGCCTACCAGTTTTTGTACCCTAACACAGCCAGGGTACACTTAGTTCAAAGCCTCAGAAAAACCTCTCTCATTTGCACAAGTAACTCTTAATAGTTCCTATAAAGGTAGCATTTGTACTAAGAGATTCTTACAGCTTCAGAGGTTTTTTTTGTCTCTGTCAAAAATCCACATCTGTAACTGATGGGGTATTTGCCAAGGAAAAACTCAGATTCTGAAGACAAGACTTATCTTACAAGAAGCAACAAGTCTCCTTAATTTACCTTCTTTGTTGCCACCATACCGGTATTTCACTCCCCCAAAGTGCCACTCTGCCTCCAACTGCTTTGGTAAACACGAACTGCGAAACATTTGTCCATCCACAGCTGGAATGAAACCAAAGAGGAGACTCAGGATAAAATTTAACAGTTATTGAGTAGTACAGAACCAGAAAAGGCTGAAAGATCTTCATTAAGGTCTTAAAGCGAAAGTATGGAAATCTGAATTGATGGATGCTGCACAAACTGATTATGAATTAAGGTCCAGTTTCAGTCTGGAAAAGCTGTGTCCATTTTGCCCTGTAAAGCAGCTGGGCTTGTCAATTGTTAACGAGGTAAATGGTGCAAGGATAACTGGATAATGGTGGTTCACCACATGAGACAAGAAATCAGAGGTAATAAATTAAATACACAGATACACAACCCCCAACAAAGAGCAGATAACCGAAATAAACAAAACAACTGAGCAGTGAAGACAAAAGCTTTTAAGTCAATGATCAGTGGCCACTATATACGATCCACTTGAAGGGTTCATCCACAAATAGTGTTAACTGGAAAACATTATTATTATGGCCAGTACAGGTCTCTCAGAAAAAGCAAACTTCTTACAGAATGGTTGAGGGGGATTGTAGGACTGCAAAATTCACTATGGGATGTTTAGGGGAAGGTTAAAAAAAGGGGGAATCAAGGGATCAGGAAAGTGCAAGTGCGGGAAAACAGAGGGGACAACAGGCAATCACATGTAACAAGGCAGCTGGTCAGTATGCTTTTCTGGCTGAGCCTTGTGGCCAGTCACTGCAGCCTGTCCTATCTTTTTCTTAAACCCTATCCCCAACTATTTTTGAGTACATTCCAGTAATTACCACAAGTCCCTCTGCTGGCAAGTAAGGATCCAGAAGGCGGTGAGACCCAAGGTCCTAGGCAGAGACTGGACAAAAGGCCCAAGCTCTGGGCATGAAGACTGGAAGGACTTAAAATCTGGGGCAAAGCCTGGAAAGAGTCAGGACTGCAAGTATGCACTGAGGTTAGTGAGTGTGATATGCCTGTGGACTTCGAGCTAGGCTAATCAGTGAATACAGCAGGCAGTCTGGGGGAACATGGTGGGCCAGAAGGATACCAGAGAGATCTATGAAGTGGGTTTGGCCTAAGCAGCAGTCCTTAGGAAAAGGATCTGTTCCTGCTGTTTGTTTTTCTGTGGATGCTTGCAAAGCTGTGCATTTGTGGCTGGCCGTGCCTATATGGTCCTTGTATGTCCCCACATGTGCATTTCTGGAATTTGTACTTGGTCTCACTGCTGGCTGAACCTGGAAACAGGGAAAAGCACCTGTCTCCCAAGACAACTCCTTATCAAGCAGTTGCCTGTTTCTGGACAGATCTATACCAGTGAAAGCATAGAAAAGCACATGATACAGAAAGGAAGACACAAGAAATGGGCTACTGAGACAAGACTAAGTCTAACCATCTCTTCAAAAATCTTGGATATCTTATCACATGAACATACCTTCCACATTCAAAGCTCCAAGAATTGCTAGTCTCGCAGCTTTTAGTCCAAAGCCCAAATAGCTGCAAACAACAAAGACAGATATTACAGTTTTAATTCTTGTACATCTGGCATGCTTCACCCACAGTCTCCTAAATCCTAGAACACCCAAAACACATTTCTTTCAGCTGCTTCTCACAAGTCTCCTCTCTCTAAAACAGAGATCTCTTCACTAGAAACATTCCAAGTACCAAAAGAGTGACACAAACCCAAGAATTACGAAGAGCTGTAAAATGGGTAAATCTAAAACTGCAGGAGGTGGTTACAGTTGATGTGACATTTCTACAAGACATTAATGAAAAGCAAAAATGCACAATCTTAAAAATGAGGGAGAAAGAAGGGTATGTGAGGAGCGCATGGGGAATAGGATGGTGATTCTTATGTCACACACATAAGACACATCTTAGGGCAGAACTAACAGAACTGTAGAACCTCCTACTAAATGGGAGATAATCCTTTGTGTGAAATTCACCTCTGTTGACTCCACAAATTACCAGTATATTCATTACAAGCTAGGATGTGAACAGCATTTATGAGAATGTCATTACACGTTGCTGGCTTCAGCAACACAGCTAGATTAAAAACCTCTGGCCTTTCATTCCCACCTCTGTATTTGGGTACTCATCCCTTTAGTCATGTCCATATAAACGTTTACAGAATAATCAGAGTTAAACTAACCTCCAGCTCCCTCATTTCTCAGGAGATGATTTTCAATCCCAATTTTTTTAAATGATCTAGTGGATTGTATTGGTGAACACAGCAATCAGTTATATCAGTAAATGTAAGCGGAAGGAGAGGAGGACTATTAAACCAGCTCTGCTGTCAAGTAAGCATATTCTGTAACTGACTAAGATGATAATCTGTACCACACTAGTAATGGGCTGAGATCTCTATTATATATGGTTGAGTGGACTGCAAGTCTGCATTGGACTGCAAGTCATACAGAGAAACTCTCTGGATTTCACTGCAGACATCTCACAAACTTGTCAGCTTAATGTAGTAAGCACAATTATATTATTCCAGGTCAAGTAACCCCTCCAGTTGGTTCAAGAACCTGTTGTGCTCCATGGTCTCTGACAGCTGCCTGTGGTTGTCTCTCTGGTTTACATCAGTCTAGGTTTTACTTTCTGTCCAGTTGCCAATGAGATGTGCCATTCTGAACTAAGAACTAGGAAGAAAGGAACCTCAGGAGTATCCTCTTTCCAAATCTCTGACCGAGTTTAGTTCTGACATGCCATCCACCTTTTTGCTTGTAATAAGAACTTGCTTTTGTAAGAAGTATTCTTCTCCTTAAATACAGTGACCCATAATGCTTCCTCTTCATTTGACAGACTAATATTCCTTTGCAGTGGTATTAACCATGAACCTGGAATGTTTCCAGTCAACTAATGTCATGTTCCACTTCCGCCAACATTTCAAACAGGTAAGAAAACTAGTAAAAAAGTCATGTTTCCAACAGCTGGTAACGAGAAGACATAGCCATTTGTGGTCAGCTCAGGGGCTGCAGAAAGATTGATTTCCCCAGTGGAGACAGCAGCCTTTTTGCTCCTCACCTGTGGGTATAGAGCTTGTAGGTGCTATTAAACATTTCAAATGAGGTAAGAAAATCCCCAGGGGTTTCCTTCAAAGTTTCCTAAAAGTTAAGTGAGAGAAGAAATCTTTTAGTTTCTATTATGCAATAAAGAATAATCAACTTTGATGTTGTATCAGAGATACATCCATAGGGTTTACTGCACACTCATCTGCTTTGAAAACAAAGAACAGTTTTCCAATAGTGCACACTGCTTTTAACACCGAGTTCATTTATAAGCATATCTGTGTTACTTTTATGTGTAATAGGGATGCGCAACTGATCAGAATGAAAATACTTCCTAATTCAAGATAACTGAATTTTTCAGAGTACTGACATGCTAAGTAAGACTCTCATACAGAGAGTCCACATTGAAATCAGCTGCACTAGAAGTGCTATAACTTCTGCAAGTCAGAGTAGGCACCTCAATTCAGCAACTCAGAAGAAACAAAAATGCAAAGTAAAGCATAGGCCACATTTTCATCATGTTAAATGTCTTGCTGATAGCTCAAGAAAACACTGTGACCACTCACTCCCACTCTTAGGGCTGCTTTACTTCCTATCTGAAGCGCTGTCCTCTAAATTACCACCTCCTGTTTTCCTCCTCTCAGTCTTCCCTCAGTGTGCACCTCCACCCCACTGGTACTCAGTCCCTACCTTCTTCCCAGACTAACTTTCACATTCTTGAAAATCTGAACCACTTCAGAGGTCATTTACCTTGTCCCTTTGTTTTCAGTCCCAGAGATCTCAATCCCACTTTCTGTCTTTCCTCTGCTAGTGACCTTATTCTCCCAACCCTTCTTAGCCCTATGCATTCATATCAGACACCCTGTTACTCTGGGGCAAGCAGCAGAACCTCAGAGAGGACTGAAGCTGCAGAGTCCCTGTAGTCACCAGTAAACTGACAACTACAGTAAGCAGATCCAGTAATTGCAGTGTCCTAGACAGAAGCCTGCTCAAAGCTGGAAGAGATTTAACAGTCTCAACTTGAGTTTCCACCGAACAAACACAAACAGAAACTTGTTTTGTGCCTCAGATAGATTTCCATTGGAATGGCAGTCACCTCTTTGGCCCAACACACCCAGACTCTGCCGTATTTTGAGCTCTGTTCCTAAACTTCACATCAAAAAAACCCTAAAAATAATAAAAAAAAAGAGATCCTGAAGAAAAATAATAATAATAATAATTAAAAAAAATGTTTGGAGAAAACAACCAGCTTTTTTCCTGCCTCACTTTCACAAAAATGTAGAAATCCACACTCTTTCCTAAATGAGGCAGGCACCAGACTGCCAATTTCATGATTATGATTGTTTTTCAGTGGCTTATGCCTTTGGCAACAATACCACGAAAAGCATGGTAAATACTCAAAAACAGTTCCATGCAGCTATCACTGTTTGTCCTCTATTTGCCTGTAACCTCTGTTTCATTAATGAATCTTTTACTACTACAGTGTTTCATTCAAAATTAATACAAGAACAAACGTGTGGCTGCCTCAGACTGTGGGGAGAAAAACTCTCTGAAAATCAAAGGGGGAAACTCCTGCTAACTGAGCTAGATGGGAAACCTCTTCAGAGACATACTGAGTGATGTATGAGCTTTTTTGTATGAACTTGACAATACAGGCAAGAAGCAGACACAGCGTACAAGCAGGCAACATGAACTTGACTCTACACTGCCCTATGGATTTGCACCATTGGTCCTGGTCAGTAAGCAGACCCTCAAGGCCTTTTCCTGCAAGGCTCTGAGGAGTTGTTTGAATCCTGAGCTGCAGCCTAGCCTACTTCACAGCTCCATCTGCTCTCCAGAACCCTGACACACAACGCCCTTTCCTCTTGGTCCAGTGCCCACTTCAGCAGGTGTTATCAACACAAAACAGAGGGCAAGCCTGGAGTACTTGAGGCTTTGCTGGGCAGGATAAGGTTGCACGTCATGTTTCAACATGACCCACTACTGCAGAACTAAAATATCCTGATATGAAAACCACGTGTTTTGTGGTTGCCAAACACCCTTCGAGAACCTCAATTTTTGTAAAAAACAAAAATAAAAGTTAAACAAAGGATTTCTCTACAAAAGAGTGACAAAAAACAACTTCACAATACCAGGTTACAGAAAGCTATAGTGCCCTTCCAATAATGTCATTTTCCCATGCAAATTTTAGACGTGGGTCCCAGTTCAGTCTGTTTCTAAAGAGCCATAGAATTTCTGACAAATACAGGAGGTATGGACTGAGAGACAGAGAGGAATTCTCAAAGGAAATGAGAAGAAACTGGTAAGAAAACAGGACTGACTGTGCTATTGTAAGATGTTCACCCCAAGAGACGCTCCCCCTCCACCCTGCTACCCCTCCCTCCAAAATCTAGCAAGGATGTTATTAGACTGGGATGAAAAAAAGCAAAAAGATAACTCAGAGCAGACCCTAGATTTCTTCTAATACGTATGAATACTCCCAGGAAATGTTCTACACTTACTGAATACAAAGTAATATCTGCTTTCCCAGCCTGGGTCTAGAAAACAATGGCTGTTTCTCTTTGGGTTTACCCATTTGCTTGCTTTCTTTTTATTTCCTTGCAATCTAGGCTCCTTTGTTTGCAAGTGCCTGTCAGCCAACTGCTGATGTCAAAGGGAACAGAAATACAGATGTTCTGTACACCACAGATGTTCTGCTTGTGCCACTGGTGACAAAGTGGTATCAAAGAGCACAGCACTGCTCAGGGCTCTCCAGTTCATGCAGTCCCAACCCACACACTCTGAACCACTGCTCACCTCAAACTGCGGCAGGAATGTGATCTGGGTTGAGGCTCCTCCCAAGTCCAGAGTCCCAACAGTATGCTGGTTCTGGCCTGACAGCTGCCCTGCAAACAATATCATGCTCAGAGCAGCCCCAAGAGCTGCAGAAATGCTCAAATGTGGGTACTGCATGTATATTCAGACAGTCACCAAGTCATCACAGCAACACAGGAGGGCTGAGCTGGCCTTCAAAGACAAAAGAGGTAAAGGTAGGCAAGCAGAAAGTACTACAAAAAGATTCATAGGACATTTCTCCTTGATTCCAATTTCATATCCAAAGAACAGATAAATCTCAAGGTATCCAGCAAAAGCTGAAACATAAGAGACAAAGTTTATAACTTTTCTTCACCCAGAGCAGCTTTTTTTGCTTGTTCATGTACCTACCAGAGTACTGATTTTCTTTTCACTAGACTGCATTCCCAGAACTTCTTAAAGCTGTTAGGACTAAAGCAGCAGGGCATTCCCTGTTGTACCATTTTAGCTGCATAGTTCAGGCTGAGATGAAGAACATTGCAAAACCTTGTTTCCCACCTTCCAACAGATTAGCAGCACCACCCCCCTATGTACATGAGAGAAACCCGCTTGCCGGTGCCTCCCAGTCCTGAGCAAATCCTGGCAGCTTCTGGATTAAGATGCCTCCTTCTTACCACAGGTGTGGCTCACCCTCTGGAACACAATCTGCCCAGGACAATTCACTGCTTTAGCACTGGTGCCACAGTGGGAAGGAAAAGCGGGACACAGCAACCAAAGCTGAGCAAGTTAAGGGCCACCACCTCCACAGAAAAGAATTAAAATCATATTCAGAGAGAAGTTATACAGAATTAAGTACCTGTCAGAAAGTTCACAGTGATCCAGGCTAAAATTCCTGCAAAGAGTGAAGAAAAAAAGAAAGTCACCACCGAATACTCCCACAATCTCCTGCCCGCTATTACCACCCCTCCATGTTATTTATGTACCTGGAAATTATGACTGACTTAATGTAACCACCCCATACTTCAGAGATTAATTCAAACTTATAATTGATATGATGCGTTATTGATTCATTAAAGTCTCCTAAGATGGAATAGGTAAAATGTTTGTAATATCCATGTAACTGAAGTATGCAAATGTCTATTATCCAAACAACATACAAAGAATGAGCTGACAGAATGCCTGAGTTTTCTTGTGCAATTTCTCCCCCCCCCCCCAGCATTTCAATTCCTAATCCAGAAACTGCATACACACTACTCTGCGTTTTACTCTTGTGGTTTCTGTAAATACATTACAGACAGAATAGCAATCAGTAAAACAGTAACAACTCCTCTGACTCCAGCGGCTTGCTTGACACTGGCATGATTGTCACCCAAACACAGGCAAACACGTGACAGTCAAGAGGTGGGATTTCTAAATAAACCTTGGCAGGCTACACTGTGCTCTGTTGTGCCTGTTCCCTGTCAATACAACACTTCTCCCTGCTATAAAATATACCTGTTACCCCTAATGAAAGACTATGCATTGCACTGCATTTCACTAAACACTTGCAGACTTTATGCTACTTCTCCTTTTCTCTTGGCCCATATGAAGGAATATTAAAGAGTAAAATCTGACCATTTACTAGTTGCTTAAGAGTTACAATAATTCTTTCTGCTTTCCTTGAACACCTTCCAAACTGGCAATATATCTGCCACAATGAAATGTTCAAAACTGTATAACGTCACAGATGGCTCTTTTCAGGCATCCACACAGAGGGATTATTACCTGCCTATTCCCCAAGGTAATATGTCTGGATATGTAGCCAAAATGTTACAGTGTTATCATCACTCACTCCAAACCTACAATGTATTTCACCTTCCCCTGTATTTTATGTTACTTCCTTTCCTAATTTACTAGCTGCAATTTTCCCATCAAAATATTTATAAAATTTATTATTTTGTTATGTTAATTATTTTTTAGTACTTGACAATTATCTTTTATTCTTCTCTACAGTCAAAATGCTTCCAACTTTAACCTGAAAATTGATGATCTCATTATAATAATTATTTTTAATGCTGATATTGTAGAATTTACGAGGCACTTTTCGTAAGCTTCCCTGCTTACTATATATTGTCACAAGGCCTTTCAGAGCTGGCCACCATCTTTCTTCCATCAGTTCACAAGAGTAGGCTTCAGCTACTTAGCCTGCATACTTATTTCTGAGATAATGTTCTGTTTTGGAACCTCAGAAGGTTTCAGATGAACCTTTATCTAGCTAACTTACACATCTGCATTTGTAGCTTAAAAGATGACAAAGTAATCAACACTTTTTAGGAGGAGCAGGATTGCATTGTTTCAAACAGGGATAGAAACCTTTTATTTTTTCCTTCAGGTTAGTGGCCATTTTTCTGTCCCTCTCACATGTATAAGATCCTGCCCCCCTCTCTCTTCCCTCCCCCTCCATTTCTCTTTGCTTCTGCTTTTTCCTTCTTCTAAAAAGTACCTTCATAAGACCCGTCCATGATGCTAACACTGTCCTCTGGAACGAGAAATGGTGATTCCTCAAAGACTTCTCTCACCTGAAGAAAGAAATAATAATTAAGATTCCTTGGTCTTAAGAGTCTTGTTCTGCTCTCAGGGTGACAGAGAAAGTTTTCTTTTTTACAGCAGTACAAAATAAGACAAGCGTGTGGAGTAGACGTTATTCTTTCTCTTTCAAGGGCCAGGAAAAAAAGAAACAAGTATTGTAGGTTTCTCGCCCCATGTTTTCTATCCACATCAAGACAGAGGATTTCAGGACCAGACAAGGAAGTCTGTAAAGTCTGGGATTTTCATGCTATCATGGGATTACAGTCATTTTTCACAGCTGAAATTCTCTTACGCTAAATAGCATGGAGAACCGAGTCATAAAAGATGGAACAGGGAGAGCAATACTAGTGCAGTAAAAAGATCTTAACATTACCTCTAAAAGCAAAGACTGAGCTTTCTCCTCTGACAGCAAGCGTAGACCAGCTGTGGCTTTTAACACTACTGGGGTCTTCTTCCAGAGATGAGGTGGCACAGCATCTATGGCCATGTCCAGCAATCTTTTGACAGTTTCAGCTCCCTAAAAAAACAAAGATGTTTTTCTTAGTTTCCTCCTACAGGCTATTAGAAAATAGGCCTCCTAATTCCCCCTCAGCGCCAGTGAAATTGGTATTCAATACCTGAAAACACCCACACTCAAGATACGTATAAAAACTGTGCTAGATCTATTAGAACCTTAAAGATAATGTCTGCATTGGAAAGAAAAGTGTATTCAAAGATATATCTTAGGTGAGAGAAATGTTATTGTTTGTGGAAAGTATTTTTTGGAAAGGATGGAGGGAGCTGAGGGAACTGATTACCTGACAAACCTGAACATCTCGCAGTATGATGAAACTAAGTGGTGCAATTATAGACTGAAATTACCAAGGTCACGGGAATGTCTGGAGACTTCAGTAAACGCAGCATATGAATTCCAAGTGTGGCCACAGTAAGCATTGTAATTAAAATGCCAGCTCTAAATGGCTACCACATAAGGTACAGGCATCACTGCTGGGCCCTCAACTATTTACACTGCTCTAAAAATTACAATTTGGCATTAGCAATAAACATTGTGAAATATCAACAAATTTATTGTGGGATGAATTCTTCTCCTCTCCTACCCAACAAAGAAGATGATTTAGTGAAATCATGGGAGATATCACGGAAGTTAAAAGAAGACAAACCCAAAGCCATTCACTCTTCCATAAATTTACACACTCAAATTCTTGTAGCACTGAATACAACTGAACAAAATGAGAAACCTGAAACTCCCCCTATGCTAGCCCTCAACTTCAAGACTGCTAAAGCACACAAGATAGAGTACCTAATCTGTAATTTCTCTGGCACCTCCTTTAGCTTGTGTAACAGCTTACTGTCAGCACAGGGGATGTGGAAAATGGCAGATTACTTCAGGACTGGCCCTCTGTATCACAACAACAGGACTATTTTAGGTCTCTCTGCTCTGTTGCTCATTTCTGACTCGTGATTCAATAGAGAGGCATGGAACTAGGGCAATGGGCATGAATTCACAACCACTCCCATTTGAAAATAAAGGTGGCACCTAACTTCATTTTCTTATTAAAATTATAAATTTATATGTTAATTAATACATCTGATTATGAAAGATGGAACTGTCCAGATGTGTTTTGAAAATATCAATATATAAACAAAACAACAAAAGTCCTGAGGCAGTAGAAGCGTACATAAATTACCTGTACATAAATTGCTATTCAGCTAAAACAGTAATCAGGTGTTTGAACTGATCATGACTGAAATGAGTCCAACACTGAGCACTGGCTTCTAAGCCATGGTTCCAAAGATAACAGCAGAGAATCAAAATAAATTATTAAAAGTCTGATGAGAGAAACAGAGAATACACCTGAAGAAATATTAAGGCCTGACTTAACCTGATAAGTGCATGTTTATTGTTCCCCTTCTCCATAAGTTATTAACAAAAAATAACACACAATAACAAAAAATATTCACACCAAAAAGTTTAATATTTTTAGCAGTCAGAGAAACAAACCCTCAGTGTAACATGAATAAAAAAGAACCCCCGCAGTCTTAACCCCTTACTGGAATTAAACATATCAAAACAAAATATGCCCATTTTGAACTGTGACCAGCACTGAAGATTTCAACCCAAAGGAAAACCTGAGAAAACTATTAGTCAGTGAGACAGAAGTATATATTTATACTAATATGCGGTAGCTTTAGGGGAAATAAACACTGAATATGGATGCTGCTATAACCCTCAAATCACTTTGTCTCTGAAATTCTCAAAGGCATACAGTGTAGTTATATATAGTATTTAAGCAATTAAGTCGTTGTTCCATTGCTGAAACATGTGAAAGAACAGCTCCCATTTCACTGTGTAGAAATTAGCTCACAAAAGTAGAACAACAGGTTTAGAGAACCAGCAGTAGAACATTCATATTTTTTCTTGACTCTCTGCAATTACAATAGGTAATACTTGAACTGCTTGGTAGCATCCAAATGATATTAGTAGAAGCAAGACCAACTGACAGGAAATGAAGGAGAGCCTTACCTTTTCAGGCTGATCAGCATATGCAGAGAGACCGGGCTTGACAGACTCAAAGATTTCCCCTTCCAGTTCTGGAAGGTCTTCTGCACAAATGAAACATTACATGAAACAGTTGACAACTTCAATCTTTTTCTTTAGTTTCGAACAGGTTGTTTGCAATCCCTGCAAAGTGACTGTTTTTGATTTCCCCTGTCAAAAGTTCCACTTGCCTCCTAAAACAAGCACTGCTCCTTAACTTCAAAAACATATTTAATAGAATGTTGCCCTTGTATCCTCCAAGTTCACAATTTACTAAGAACCCGTTGTTAGAATTAGAAGTATGTTCATTTTGCATTTGTGAACTACAGTGAAATATAGCAATGCATTATGAATGCTGCCTTACCTTAATAAAATTTCTTTCCCTTTCTGTCCCCATGCTAATTGTGCAATGCTAATTCATATCAAAACACACACAGTCAACTCCTGATAATCATTAGGTGATTCATTAATTTCACAAACACAGAACAGAACTGACTGAGCTCAAGTGTGACCGTTGTTCCTACAGCAGCTTTGGTCTAGAAGCTACGCTGGAGTATTGCATATTACAAGCCAGGCTGAGTCCATCAGACCTGGACATTGTACCAGTCCTTCCAAACTATGGTTGAAATCACATGAAGCTGCACAGGCACTATGTGTGACCCCAAAGGGCTTATTATCTGAGTCCATCAAACAACCTTCAGCCTTTGCCAATTTGCTGACTCACTGTGCCCAAGCTAATTCACCCTCTTGAATCCTGTTGCATGTGCAGCCAACTTGGGTACCTCTGCACTGTGTAAGAAGCAGACATACTGGAGCATAGTACATCTGCAGACAGTTCTCCTGGAAACGGCTCAAACCTTCAGTGCTCTTGATATAATTCAAGGTAATGCAACAGTGCAAGTCTCTTTCCAATTCAGTTAAATATTCCTCTAAAGAGCTACATAGATGAAAATATTTGTAAATTCAGAACTCTCCAGTATACTCAGAATTAAACTTTGCATTTTAAAAGATCTACAAAAAAACATATTTTCACAGCAAAACACCACCACAAACGTACAATAATCATCTGCCAAAGGACCATTTAAAGGACAAACTGTAGAAATCTCCAATTGTTTCCAAATGCTGTGTTGGGAGAAAATAACCTCCTTTTGGAAGTTGGAACCTAACTCAACACACTCCAAGTGCACAGACTCATGGAGGGTCTTACCTGGGCTCTTCTGCACAAAGGTGTAAATGTGAATCCTGGTTCCAGTGCTTCCTGCGTCAAACATTATGCCATAAAAAGTGTTGTCTTTGGCATTTATAGGGCACGTGTTGGGTGGAAAGAAATCCTGAAACCACATCTCTCTGTTCAAATGGGAAAGAACAAAGGAAAGAGAGGAAAATGCCAGTGCTAGAAGGATGGGAAGTCTGGAAAATGCCATCTTGCCAGGACTCCTTAGGCAGTTAAACATGGATCAGCAATCACAGAGCTGCAGTGGGTCCTGTAGAGAGGAAGAAAAGCAGGAATATAAATTACCAAGAACCCTCTCCTTTGAAAGTCTCTAGGAAAAAAGTAAAAACAAAAACACAGAAAAAAACCCAAACCAATAAAACAAAAAACCCAAAACCCAAACAAAACCCCACAATCAAAACAAATTAAAAAACCCAAACACAAAAAAATACAAAAAAATTCCAAATCTCCCCCCAAAAAACCCAAACCCCACAACAGTCTGTACATATACATTCTGCCCTTTAGATGCTTTTCAACGCTTCATCCAAAAGATGTGATTTACTTCACTTAGTGTTACAACTACATCCAAGTGTTCTAACAGAGTAAAGGCTTCTCCATTTCCCAAATGCAGAAGAGTTAGTTTGTTTCCCAATACTTCTGGTTTTGCCTTTATTTAGACAATATTTTTCTCTGATTTGGCTTAAAGGATCTCAGCATCTGGAGTACCTTCAAACAACCTCCAAAAAGCCCAAATGTTACCTGAAAAGAAGCATCACCAAAGGGGAGCTCAGAGCAAACCACATCACCCTAACATTTACATACTTGGGATGCCATGGCAAAACACAAGTGTTATTCAGAGTCACAAACAAAGAGAATTTCATCTTGGGCTAAGAACAGCTGCTGGGAGAGATTAGCACACAAGAGGGTGTGAAGGCATATCCTTCCAGCAGCATCCTCATCCCCAAGAAAAGCCTATGCTACACAAGAGGGACGGAACCATACAGTGCGTTTTTCATACTTCCCCTTTCTGTCTTCATTTCAGTTTTTCATCATTTTTTCCTGACACAGTTTTCATTTTCAGAATCAGAAAAAAAACAGCAAAACCCCACCACAGTCTCACACCCAAACCGGTTGCCCTGAGCACTCAGGTTGCTTACACAACTTCTAACAATAGATTCAATAAGCCAAGGGCCCAAAGTTCTGTGATGCAGTATTGGATATCAAGACACAAGCACACCTCCTCTCTGTTAACACTTAACTCTTTGCATATATTTTTCCTAAGAAATGCTAATAAAGAAAAGATATGGGCACAAAAATGATAGGGCTCATCAGGTGCCCAAGTATAAGGGAGGCGAATATATAGCTATCTTTGTTATTTGCATTTTAACAGCAGAAAAGAGCATGTGGCCAGATGTCCCACCATATGCAGTATCGCCTGTGCTGACATACACACAGAGCACTCAGCATGCAGGAGGAGCAAACAGCTCCTTATCACTCTCCAGACACTTGGTAACACATTTGTCCACCCACAGCACTGAACATTTTACATCATATGCCTGTTTATCTGCTCTGCCCGAGACCCTCACCCACTTCTAATCCTCACATTTGACTGTATTTTGGTGATCTGCTCAGCCCCACTACATTCATTCTCAGAATCTTTGCTTGATATCTCTATCCCACATTTAGTCATTCCTAATTCCGAACCTCTCCTTACCTTTCTATATGAATCAGACATAGCCTCTATTTCCACACACCTTATCATAGAATCATAGAATCATAGAATCATAGAATAGTTAGGGTTGGAAAGGACCTTCAGATCATCAAGTTCCAACCCCCCTGCCATGGGCAGAGACACCTCGCTCTAAACCATATCACCCAAGGCCTCGTCCAACCTGGCCTTGAACACTGCCAGGGATGAAGCATTCAAAACCTCCCTGGACAACCCATTCCAGTGCCTCACCACCCTAACAGGAAAGGATTTCCTCCTTATATCCAATCTAAACTTCCCCTGTTTAAGTTTGAACCCATTACCCCATTTCCTATCACTACAGTCCCTAATGAAGAGTTCCTCCCCAGCATCCCTATAGGCCCCCTTCAGATAGTGGAAGGCTGCTTTGAGGTCTCCACGCAGCCTTCTCTTCTCCAGGGTGAACAGCCCCAACTTTCTCAGCCTGTCTTCATATGGGAGGTGCTCCAGTCCTCTGATCGTTCTCGTGGCCCTCCTCTGGACTTGTTCCAACAGTTCCATGTCCTTTTTATGTTGAGGACACCAGAACTGCACACAATACTCCAAGTGAGGTCTCACGAGAGCAGAGTAGAGGGGGCAGGATCACCTCCTTCGACCTGCTGGTCATGCTCCTTTTGATGCAGCCCAGGATACAGTTGGCTTTCTGGGCTGCAAGCGCCCACTGAAGCCAGCTCATGTTCATTTTCTCATCGACCAGCACCTCCAAGTCCTTCTCTGCAGGGCTGCTCTGAATCTCTTCTCTGCCCAGCCTGTAGCTGTGCCTGGGATTGCTCCGACCCAGGTGTAGGACCTTGTACTTGTCATGGTTAAACTTCATGAGGTTGGCATCAGTCCACCTCACAAGCGTGTCAAGGTCCCTCTGGATGGCATTCCTTCCCTCCAGCGTATCAACCGAACCACACAGCTTGGTGTCATCGGCAAACTTGCTGAGGGCGCACTCAATCCCACTGTCCATGTCAGCAACGAAGATGTTAAACAAGACCGGTCCCAACACCGATCCCTGAAGGACACCCAAAGAATTCACTTATCCTCCACTACCTTTTATCCCAGATTTTGCCTTTGCATGACTTATTGTTTCCACCCTTCACCTTTGTCCCCAGTTACAGCAAAGTGTGATTAACTTTTATCCATACTCGGTAAACAACATCACGTTGGGTCATTCCTCAAATGTCTCACTAACTCACTCAAGTGTTCAGCTATCTCTAGAGCACAAAACACACAGCCCCCTGTAGAAGGGTAACCTTGCCTGTCTTATGTGACCTGTATTTCTACCCTCTTGCTCCTACTAAATGCAGAGTGCTGCAGGCAGAAGCACAAGCTCTTGATCCACTCTGCCCTTGAAGCACACTCTGAGAAGAGGAAGAAGTGACTTTATGATTCCACATAAAGTGGTGATACCGCTGGCCACCCTTCTGTGACAGATCAACTCCAACTGTAGTAGTTTCTAAAGTATCTGCATTTCATGTGGAAATGAGTAAAAACTTAATTCTAATCTGCAACAACTTCCTATCCTGAACAGAGTTAATGAAAAGCGCTAAGCCTTTTGACAGCTTCATAGCTATGGATCTGTACTAAGACTCAGCTGGCATTACCCACGTTTGCTTCATCACAGCAAGGAGGTCTACTGAAAATCTAAGAGGCCATGCTTTTAACAGAACATAAGCCACAGTAATGAGTACTACCTTCCGTGTTGTTATTCTCACGCAGTGTAAGGATTTTGCTTGCTGATCCATCACAAATACAACCCAAGCACCTGCCTTAAGAACAAACTGCAGGGTCCTATTACAGACCTCACATGTGACAACGCAAGCCTCAGCATCTCTGATGATGAGAAAATATCCCAGCAACTGCCATCATTAACACATACTTTTCTTGTGATCTACTAGTGGATGAGCCTTAGCCTTCCAGGAAGTACTCCCTCCCTAAGCTTCTCTCCTCTCTCCCTTCTATGACATCTACCACCATTTCACACTTTTCATTCTCAGCTTCTTCCTTTTTTTAACTTTCCACCTCTATGCTCATAAGGGCAAAATAACGGCAACCCTAAACAACCCTGGGATTTATTTTTCTCCATCCCCATTAAGAATGAAAAAAGCACATGGAGCCTCTTTAATGAGTGCTGAAGACCATTTAATCAGGCACACTAGCAAAACTGTCCACAAGAAGCATAAAAATAGATTATGACAGTAAGAAATCAGAGACAAGAGAAAGAAATTGGCAGAGTGTAACAGAAATGGCAATGGAAAATGAATTTGGAAAGACAGGGTCAGAAGCAAGAATGGAAGAAAAAATTTAGGGTAGCGATAGAAAAGAGACTAGTTTTACCAAGAACGAAAAACGTTTCCAAGAGATTTCTTCTCAAGCAACTTAAAATCCTAGCTGTTATCAGAATACAACAGATGGATAAAATGAACAACAAACAGAAAGGAAAAAAAAACAGGGTATCACTAATATAACTTGATTAATATGAGCAAGCAGTTCAGCAGGTAAAACACACAGACCACCATCAGTACGCTCCAGCTACTGCCTTTATAAATAAGCAGTTATAATTAACATAAATCATGAATACACTAGGTGCACACCTGAAACACGATGGAAGGAAAAGCTATTCCACTCAAGAGACTCCTAATGAAAACCACTTAGGAGCAGCGTGACAAGAGACACTGTGTCTGCACTTCTTTTCTTCACCTTTGCTTTCAGCTAGTAGGAGTGGACTATGTCTGGAAAATTGTAAGTCATTGAGGCACATAAAATATCAGTCGACCTGCTTTATTCAAATTTGAGTTTATCATTGACCAGTACAAGCAGTGAAACATGCTCAGATAATTACATGGGATGAACTTAAATAAGTTGAAAGTTAAACCGAGTTCAACAAGTTAGTAAAACATTTACACAAACATTACATTGACCTCAACAGCACTGGCCTGAGTCCAGTGACACAAGGTAGAACACTTACGTCCCAACACAGAGAAACACACATAAACATCACTGGTACAAGCTAGATTTTCGATACCAGACCAAAATGTTGAAGCCAAGACTGGAAGCATGAATAAGAAGAAAAGGGAGAAACAGAAAACCCTCAAACCCGCAACCAAACCCTTCTTAAACACAAAAGCAATAATAATGCCAGAGCAATCATAAAAACCCTCAAGGCAGCAAACCACAACCTTTCTTAGAGCCCAGAACACACAGAGACACTGGTAATTTTCAACACAATAAATCTCACCCACACTCTTGAATATTTCTGACAAAAGAACATGCAAAACCTAAACCACAGCAACAGGAGCATCTCCTTGTAAAAAGGAATCTGTCTGATCTGAGGGGAAGATACACAAGAACCTCCCTTCCGTTTCCTAAAATACTACTGGGAAATATTTATTATATATAAATAAAACATTAAAAATATTTATGATATAGGTAAATATTTTAGAAAAACAAAATTGATGATGTAATTCAATTCATATTGTTACTGCTCAAGCACGCCAGAAATCATTCAGATCAAAGCCTATTTTCTGCACTACACCAGTAACAAAATCTCTTTTTCAGATGAGCAGCTGTTATAACAAGATCTGTTTTCCAGATGAGCTGCACTCAGGACTAGACAAATACATTTTTCATTTTTTTTCCCCAGAAACAAAAAATCATTTCAGGTTTCCTGGGCTTATTTTTACCGACCTTAAAAAAAAAAAAAAAAAAAGAAAAAAAGAAAGCTTTTTTTTTTTTTTTTGTAAAAAATTTAAGCTTATTAAAAGTACACAGCTTAAGAATCACAACGGGAAAAACAACTGAGCTCACTGACTGCATTTCCCAGCACTTCCGTACAGGTGATGACACAATATTCTTTGCACACATACCTTCTGGGGAAAATTCTGCATCTAGAGCTTCAAAAAAATAGAAATCAACTCACTGACATGAAAAAACAACCCCAAAACCAGACCCAACTCACCAACATGTGTTATCAGAGTGTTGATCTTTCCCCTGTACTGCGGTTCCAAGTACACATCACTTATTTATGCTCATTTCTAGCCAAGTGGGTTTTCAGTCTTACTATTTAATTAGGCCAAAGCAGCTTCCCAAGAGAGCGCTGCGTTTCCCTCCTGCAGCGTGTCAGCGCGTCCCTTTACAACCCTGTGACCATATCTAGACCTCCGGGGCTGTCACTAACACCTTCTATGGGAACAACCGCTGCTCTCGGGAAACCGATTTTGGGTGCAGAGGGCTTCAGCTTCAGTCTAAGCGCGGGGAGAACTCCAGCGCTGATTTGAGCACAGCGCTGCTGGCTGCGCGCTTTGAAAGCGCCCCTCAGAGCTTCACCTGAAGTAACTTGGGAGACTGGCTGGGTAACGGCCCTTTCCCAAACCTAACTGCCGTTACCGCACCCCAGCGCCAAAGCCTTCTGCCTTTCTCCACGTCCGACAGCCGCAATCTAAGCCCTGACACCCAATTCCCCGACCTTCATTCTCTCCCCACAAAGCAAAAGCCCCAGCGGCTCCGGGGGTAGGGAGGGGGGAGCACAGCTCTCGGGATCCCGACACCGGCACCGACACCACCAAGCGGGAACACTGGTGGGAACACGGACCGCTGCCCCGTGAGCCACCCGCAGCTGTTACCCGTCCTTCTGCCCTCCCCGGGCGGCCGCGCCGCGCGGAGTAACGGAAACGCCGCTGACTCCTTCGCTTCCAAGTGTCTCACGCCGTTCCCTGAGGCCGCCTCGGCGGAGCGCCGGGACCCGGGCTGGGGTGTGTGCGTGTGGGGTGTCACCCAGGCTCGGAACGGCTCGCTGACCGCTTCGCTGCCGCACCGGGCAGGACGCGGCAGCCCCCAGCTCCCGCTCCCGTCGCACAGGGCCGCTGTTTCCATGACAACACGACGCTGTCATACACCTCCCCGCTCCCCAGCCCCGGGCGCCGCTGAGAGCGCTCACCGGTTCCTCGGCTCGCTGGCGGCGCCACATCTCACCGCCCCTGCGCGCCGCGTCAGCGCGCCCACGTGACGCACCCGTCGCGCGAGTTGTGCGTCGCGGGAGGGCGCCGTCTGGTGTCCATGGGAACGGGCCGCCACGCGCGCTCCTCGCTTTGGCCACGGAGGGTGCTGGGGGCAGGCCCGAGGCGGCCGGTAACGGAGGCAGCGGGGCGGCGGCAGGGAGCACTGCCGGCGGGTGGTCCGCGCTCCGTCGCAGTTGCTCCCGCTCCCGCTCCCGCAGCCTGGCGGTAGGCTGGACTGGCAGCCTAGGTGTCTGAGAAAAAGTGGGTCGAGGTGGACGCGGCGCTATGGGAGGCTGGGCCGGCGGCCACCGAAGCCTCCCGGGCTGAGTACGCTGAAGCTCCAACGGCTGGCCAGGAGCAACGCGGAGCTGCTGTGACGGCGGCAGGACTAGGGAAGGGAACCGGCGGCCGCTATGGCCTGCTTCACGAAGCCGGGCCAGGAGAAGGCGGAGGAGGTGTGCGTGCAGCTGGGCAGGCCCCTCCTATCCGCCCTGGCTATAGCTTCTCGGCCCGCAGCAAAACACCTCGCGGCCCACCCGGCTGCTTCTGTTCCTGCAGCCGAAGGTGGACGAGGGTGAAGCAGCAGCGCTCCCCGGCGGCGGGACTGCTGTTGGCGGACTGGGCTGCGAATTGGAAGCCTCGCCTCGGGTGCCCGCCTGCTCCTTTACAGGAGAAACCGGCGTCCTGTCTGGCTCCCCCTCTGTACAGAGGAGAGAGCAAAATGCTGCAACAGCACATAGTGTACAAGAAGAGGCAGAAGCGTTTGTCAGCTAGAAAGAAAAAGAGAAAGTTAAGAGGGAATACGATGGATTTAGCTGCCTGGAGAAGGTTTTAGAGAAAATAGAGGCAAACTCCACTCGGAACACAAGGAAGAAAAAGAAGCCCTGCACTGTAGCTTCCATTTCCTCTATCAGAGACTATTTCACCTTAGTCCCATTTCTACTTTTCTAAAGCCAAGTACGAAGCAAAACCCTTTTTCAGTTAGGAAAAAAACCAAACAAACAGTGGAAACTGGAATTATTTTAACTTTATATGTATGTGTGTGTGTGTATATATATATATATATATATATATGAAAGAAGATGCAAAGCTCTGATCCCCAGGACACTGGTGAGGTCAAATGGTAGGAGACAATTTCCTTGCTCACATGCTACTGTTTTCTTTCAGACTCTTCAGTATAGAAGATCTTACTCAGACCTTTTTCCATCTGCCTCTTTTTGTGTCTTTTGTTCTCCTTTTCTAAACTGTTTCTCTAACACTGCATCACTATCCAAAACAGTAAGGAAGAAAACCTGCTCTCCGCATAGCTTAATTCTTCAGTAGAGTCACAGATCTGTTTGTGTTGAATACATGGCAGGGGGGGTTATAGTTTAAGCTTTTAAATTTCTTATCATTAACACAAATCAAAGTTTTAAGCATGGTTTAATTGACCTGAACATTGCAAATAAGAGATCTTTCTCCTATTTCTGTCAGAGAAGAACACAGCAAGGATGTTTTTTCCCCTCACAGTTACTGTTTCTTGATTTCTGTTGCCATAGATTGAAAAACAGAAGCAGGAGCTGACTGATTTAAAACACCAAGTGCAAAATGACAAGAAGGTGGTGAATGAACTTTTTTCTTTGTCCTTGTAACAGTGGGAATCTTCTGAGCAGGCTGAAAATTACTTCTGATTTTAGTATGAGGAATGAGCTTGTGCAGTTAATGATTTTGATTAACAGGTTTTGATTCAAAAATGCTGCATGAAGAGTTTGAAAAAGACCAAAACCCACCAACAACAATGGTGATGTGGGAATTATCCCACGACTCTGTAGTACTGTATCAGGTAGTAATAGGACTATTATATATATTCTGAAATAGTATTAGCAACTAGCTGGATAACTGTAAGACCTGAGGCACAGCAAAAACATACTTCATTTTTAATTAGCTAAACTATAACTACTTTGAATTGCTTTACAGTTCTTCACTCATTACTGTTGAATCATGACTTCTTAAAAAGAACTGAGAAAATTACTGTTTGTTAATCTAGCTCAAATAAGAAACACAGAACTGATCTTGATGTCTGCAGAGTTGGTCTCTCACGTACTCTCACTCCTCTCTTTCCAAAGCTGTGCAACAGTGGTTTCCCCCTCTTAAACGCGTTATCCTAGAGGCGCTACCACTATTGCTGGTGGGCTCAGCTTTCACTAGTGGTGGGACCATCTTGGAGCTGGTTTTGGCTTTGTTAGACACCTGAGAAGCTTCTGGCAGCTTCTCACAGAAGCCTCTCTTGTAGTCCTCCCACCTCTCCACTACCAAAACCTTGCCATGTTAACCCAATACAATTATATTATGGATGTTCCTTTAAACTTAATTTCTATACTTGTTATTTCACTGGAGTGTAGCCTCTGCTGAGTTTGCAGCATTTCTTCTAATGATGGATTCTTCGTAGTTTTTTTTTAAAACAACATGGCATAGAATTTCAGACGTTCAGTTGTGTATGCTCTGTGTTTTATGTTATAATATGATGATGATTGGTTTATCTCAATTTCTGATTGCAGGCAGACTATTATGCCTAACAGAAAAACAACTGGAAATGTCAGAAAAAAATAAGAGAAATTGGGCAAATTAAATTAGAACTGAAATTAATAAGGGAGTTCTATAGGGGACAAGCGGCTAATGAGAAAGAGCTGGAAGATATAAGTTTGTCATAAATATGCATTTGTAATGTAACTTTTCTGTATGCAAGACAGCATGGAAATTGGGAGTGGAGGATATGGCCAATCTACTGCATTGTTTTCCTTACAGAGAGTGAAGAAAAGCACTAGGTTGATAAAATGCAGGTTCTGTAGCCAGAACTCACTTATGTAATGGTTCAGTGCTGTAGGTTTGTTTGTTTGTTTACAGACTAACATGGAATCATACAAACATGTGGGTAGACTCAGCATCTAGCACACCCTTTAAAGAAATGTATGAAGGAGCTAGCAATTGACTACAAATCAATTGCTACAAGTCAATCTAAGTCTGACTGCTTTCTCACTAGTTAGCTCAGTTAAGATGTGAATGCCAGTATGGTATCGTCTTTTCAACCATGTAAGCTATTTAGTATATAAAACTAGGGACTGTTTTTCACTAAGAACTTACATAGCACATGACCTAATTAGAAATACTTTGGAGCTATAATACAAATACTAAACAGTAGTACTGACTGTAAAATATAAAGAAGTATCCCAGCTGACATGAAGAAAGGGCCTTGAACAATTCAAGTGCTTTGCTGACTCAACTCAGCTGGATTTTTTTTTCAACCACAAGAAGGGACTTAGAAACAATGCCAAATGCTTTCCATGGAGACAAATGACTGGTCAACAGCAACTGGATTCTTAACATACAGAATCATAGAATGGTTTGGGTTGGAAGGGACCTTAAAGATCATCTAGTTCCAACCCCCTGCCATAGGCAGGGGTAGTTGCCTTTACACTATTAAATGCATGTTAGTCAGACATTTTTCAAGGAACACTCAAGGCATTGGACTTTGAACGATCTTGGTGACTGAATGAATAGATAAAGTAAAGCAGATTTCTAAAACTGATCACTAAACAGAGTGATAGATTGTAAATTACAGTCAGCGATGTGAAATTATGGACACAAGTGAACTGCAAAGGGGACACAAAGCAGTAATACAAGTCAGAAGGTTAAGTGAATTTTATAGATTATGTAAAACATTGATGGAGACTATTGGTAGTGGCAGGTAGTAATTTGGTAGAATTATAGAATTTTATAGTAGTGCCAAATTTCCTTCTTGAGAGTGCATCGACGATTTTAGTTATATGGCTGACATAAAATACCATTATTAAAGAAATTCTGGGTTTTATCATAGTTAAAGTATAGGGGTCTCAAACAGGGACATCAGGAAGTGTTTGTGAGATTGGAGAGGAGGTTGTTTGAAGAAAAGGCAGTTTTATTTATAAAAAAAAGGCAGGTATATTTTATAAGAAAAGGCAGTTTAACTTTTATTAGAACAAAATGATTTCTTCCATTGACTACTCGGGTTTATACAGTTTTCACAGTTCTTTGATGAGTATTTGAACAATTTCCCATGTTACTGCAAGTATGATGAATGAGTTGGAGGCTAAGTGCAGCTTTTTAAGGAAAACCATGGGATGTCAGGATCCCTGAAAGACAGTATTCCTCGTTTCCATCAGAAACTTCAGTGCCCTTGGAGGTTCATTCTTTCCCTAACAAGAGGTGAGTGAGATGAAAAGTGTGGGTGTGATTTTAGAATTTACACTGTTTCAGATTTTACCTTTGGTGCCACAGGTCTCACGCAAAATTTAAACATTTTTTTTTCTTCCTTTTAGAAAAGACCGGAAGAAAAAGTTGAGAGAAAGCAAACAATGATGGCAGATACTGCCCAGCGTGAGACTTATTCATAGGAAATACTTGCTTTTCCTGTTTTCTGCTTTACAAAATCATCTTAGTGCTGTGTTCTAAGTAAGTTGTTCATGTTATTACATGGGCTTTGAAGGGCAAAATCAGTGATGACTGAGGCAGCACTTACTTTTATATGGTAAGACCCTAGAGGAGTAATATTACCATGATAGTACTGCTGTTTCCTTCATTCTTATAGTCCAGATACAGGACTAGAAGCAAAGCTGTGAAAACTTGGTAGAGATCTGTAAGAATTTTACAGCTTAGCTCTTAATTTAAGACACTGAAATGTTGATTTAATTATTAAAAAAAAACCAAAACCCCAAACAAATAACAAACAAAACAAACAAGAAGGGTTGTGATTAAAGCTTTTGGATTTTGTTTCCCTCTGTTCAGGCAGCAGACCAGCACTGAGAGAGAAGTATTTAAGTGGATGTTTGTCTTCACAGTGGATTTGCTTACCAGCTGAAAGGACCAGTGGAATTGGAGAAAATCAAACAGAAGTTAGAAGAGGACAAAGGTCTTCTGTTACAGGAGAAGGTTTCCCCTCTGGTTTTAGTTCTGTTCCATTCTCTTCCAGGAAGGGGTCAGATATTTCTGCAGTTGCTGAATTTGGAGGTGTCTGAAGGACAGTTCTTATTCCATCTTCATCATGGAGGAGAAAGAATGAAGGATTTCTTATGCTAGCCCATTAAGAATAAGTCTCTCTGTAATGTATACTATTTACCAAGTCTTCTTTATCTGGCTTTTCTTGTAAATAAAAACCTGATCCTAGGGAAGCATTCACTCTCCAGTATGAAGGTGCCTGCATGTTTACTCTACACAGTGTTGGAGGAAAAAAGACTGTAAAACCACACCTCCAGATTTGGTGCAAATGAAATAAAACCCCAAGCAATTTATTTTCATCTTTTAGGAAACCACTGAGGGTTTGATTCAGAAAATGATCCTACAGATCAGTTGCCAGAAAGCACAGATTGGAGATCTGCAGCGTAAAGTAGAAAAGCTGGAGATGGACTTGCATCACGTGACCACAGAATCTGAGGGAGAGACTCAGGAAATACAGCATCAGGCACTGATACAAAACCAGGCACGCATGGTCGAGATCAAGAAGCTGCAGCAACTACTAGAAATGAAGGATCGGGAGATGAACTGAGTGAAGGAACTAGCCCAGAATATCTTAAATGAGAGGACCACGGTGAAAAGGTTCTTCCTAAATGCTCTGGAACATTTGAAACAGGAGATCATATCCAGTATAAGAAATATATATATCCAGCAGTATAAGAAAAAGGACCAAAGTGCCTATTACAGAAAAATGGTGGAGACATGTGCAGGGAAGGAAGAATTTTCCAAAATCAAAACATTCGAAAGCAACATAAATAGCACAAATTGTGTGTACAGAGACCTAGAAGAAGAAAATAAACGGTACTGGTATTGAAATATGAAAAATTAGTGTCTATCCTCCCACTATACCTGAAAAAACCCTTTGCATGATAATACTGTCTAGGTTTGGAATGCTTGTGGAGGCTTCTGTAGTGAGAATAATTGTATGAGGTATAATATCCTATCAATTAGTAACAACTTTGTGGGCAACTAATTTCAACCAGGCTGTCACTTTTTGGACGTTATTTCTAAGCATCAAATTAAAGATGAAAAAGTTTGTTGCATATTCTGCCATGTGCTGTGGAATTTGATATAAAATTTCCAGTATAGGTGTGCTTTTGCACATTACATTTAATAATTATTGTTGCTTCTCTAAGTTTTGCGATTTTTTTGTTTATAGGCATTGCTCTTCCAGTATTGCTCTTTTGATTTTTTACTAACTCCAGTGAGCTGACAACACTGAAGCCTGAATGTTGCAATTAAGATGCTGACAGATCTTTACTACGTTGCTGATCATTTTAACAGAAACATCCAGTAGATGTCAAATCTGGTCTTTTTTCAATTGGTCTTCAGTGTCAGAAGCCCCTACTTCAAGTTGTGCTTTCAGAGGCTGTTTTCCTCAAGCTTTATTATCTAAATAAAATAAATATTATTCTAAAAATTAAGCCATTACATGAAATGGACACATATCAAAACCAAGACCATAGGCAATACATGTGATTGACAGGATTCCATGTTATAATGCATAAAACAAAATCCCGGGTGTGAGTATCTCCGAATTCAGCTTGGTTGAAATTAGGGCTGCACGTGCCACAATGGCCAGGATTACAGGTCTCCAACCTGCCACTAGAAATCTGTGCCTACAACTGCAGCAGTGTTCAGGCACTTACATTTTAAGCCATAGAGTTAAGCTCCCCCATAGCTGAAGCTTTGCATACATTCTTGGTGAGAGATAAAAATTATCATACTCCCATATAAAAAGTTTGCTTAGTGTGCATTGGCTATTGAATAACTTGGTGACACACCGTCAGTTGGAATGCTTTGTTCAGGTATCTTATCTCAAAAATGATACAGCAGAAAACCTTCATGAAGAATCAGAGGTGGAAGTAGTTATTGGGATCTAAAGATGCTTCTTTGAGCAAGAGAAGAGGGAGACTGAAACTGAGAATGAAAATCATTGTATGTATTGACCCTTTTAAATATGAAAGAGAAGCAAAAGAAGGACAATGTACTTGAAACTAAATATATGTTAGTACTAACATGGACAGTGGGATTGGGTGTGCCCTCAGCAAGTTTGCTGATGACACCAAGCTGTGTGGTTTGGTTGATATGCTGGAGGGAAGGAATGCCATCCAGAGGGACCTTGACACGCTTGTGAGGGGGGCTGATGCCAACCTCATGAAGTTTAACCATGACAAGTGCAAGGTCCTACACCTGGGTCGGAGCAATCCCAGACACAGCTACAGGCTGGGCAGAGAAGAGATTCAGAGCAGCCCTGTGGAGAAGGACTTGGAGGTGCTGGTCAATGAGAAAATGAACATGAGCCGGCTTCAGTGTGCACTTGCAGCCCAGAAAGCCAACCGTATCCTGGGCTGCATCAAGAGGAGCGTGACCAGCAGGTTGAAGGAGGTGACTCTGCCCCTTTACTCTGCTCTTGTGAGACCTCACTTGGAGTATTGTGTGCAGTTCTGGTGTCCTCAACATAAAAAGGACATGGAACTGTTGGAACAAGTCCAGAGGAGGGCTACAAGGATGATCAGGGGACTGGAGCACCTTCCGTATGAAGATAGGCTGAGAAAGTTGGGGCTGTTGAGCTTGGAGAGGAGAAGGCTGCATGGAGACCTCATAGGAGCCTTCCAGTATCTGAAGGAGGTCTATAGGGATGCTGGGGAGGGGCTCTTCATTAGGGACTGTAGTGATAGGACATGGGGTAATCGGTTAAAACTTAAACAGAGGTAGTTTAGATTGGATATAAGGAAGAAGTTCTTTCCTGTTAGGGTGGTGAGGCACTGGAATGGGTTGCCCAGGGAGGTTGTGAATGCTCCATCCCTGGCAGTGTTCAAGTCCAGGTTGGACAGCCTTGGGTGACATGGTTTAGTGTGACATGTCCCTGCCCATGGCAGGGGGGCTAGAACTAGATGATCTTAAGGTCCTCTTCAACCCTAAGTATTCTATGATTCTGTGATCCTATTTATAACTACTACATGTGTAACAAAAATCATTGGTTTTGTTTCGTTTAGTTTCAACAACCATAGATTTAGAAGTCACAGCACTGAGTGGTCAGATTTATTTTTTGAATTTACATGCTACAAGTAGCTGAACAAGAGCAATGAAGAGCTAGAATTTAAAACCTGTTTCATACATACAGAATCCATTTGGATTTTTCTTCTAATATGTTGATATTTCTGTGTTTTTCAGGGAAAAAATGCAGTTTGAAAAAGTGGGTATCAGTGATTTGACATGGAGGCAAAAAGAACATGTTCTGCGATTGCTTTTTGCCAAAATGAATGGCACAAATCCATGGTAATATTCTGTTTCTTGAGTAGGTGCATGCTGATCTTTCTCTGTTAGAGGAGCTGGGCTGGTATCTCCAGGTCAGGGATTCCAAGAAACACTGAATCTAGCATAAGAATCTAGTTAACTGTGAGGCGTGGTGTGAGACACATCTAACTTTTGAAAAAGGTGATTTAACCTTTTGAAAAAGGTGATATACCATATACTAATATTGGACATGCAGCAGACAACACTGTTAGATCTTTGTGTGTAATAGCAAAAGAAAAGCAAGTGGAAGCTATTTTTGGTAGTGCTGAGGAAGAGAGATGTGAGGAGAATTAATTTTACTTGCTGCAGTGGGATTAATTTTGTTCAGACATTAATGAAGCTCAGTCCATCTTTAACAAACAAGTACATAATGTATACTATGACACTAGCACTCCTCCACATATATTTCCTTTTAATAGGCTGTAAAGCGACCTGTGCAGTATTAATAAGTGCAAATACCCTCAACCAGAGTATTAAAGGTGTACATATTCTATAGCTCATTGCTGTCTGCGTAAGAAACTCCAGGGTATGACTTTAGGGATCCCTAAAATATGGCTTACGCTGGAAATGCATAGTTCAAACTGCATTAAATATAAACTGTGAACTGAGGCATAGCAGGGCCCAAATAGAAATCTAAAATGCTATGATTTTTAATGTCATTTGGGGAGACCTAATGCTTAGGGTGCAATATCAGCTTCTCTGTGTTAAAAGAGTTTATTTAGTTTTTAAAAAGTTAAGTTAAATTTTGTTTGTAAAAGTTACATTAATGGAACTTTCTCAAATTTTAAGGTCATTACAATGGAAGTAAGAAACATGTAATGAAATGCTCGTAAGATTCCAATTTATGCATGGATTTAACTCCTCCTATGAGTATTTGCCAATATACAAGCACTCACAAAGCTGTAGTGTGAAAGCTGGAGAAATTGAATACAGGCACTACATTTTAAGCTGATTTATAACTAAACTTTTTGTTCTATTAAAACCCACTCTTTTGTTTATTTCACCTCGTTCCCTTTTAATTGTAATGATTTTGCCAGAAAATATGGAATTCCGTAGTGAACTGAATTCATGTTTGAACCATGGTGCTGGGTTTGGAGAGTGTACTGCAATAGCTCAGGTGCCCTAGCATTTCTTGCTTGCTGTTTGGTTTAGAAAACAAGTTTGGTGTGGGATTATAAACCTGTCAGTATAAATTACCATTAGATGAGGATTACTTTGCTGTTGTGTCTTCCCCACAGGCAGTACACCAGAGTTCTGGCTACTTCAGTTTCAGCTACTGCTGATACTAAAGAAGAAAGCAAAACTGGGTAAGATACTAAATTATTCCACACTAACATCACCTCAGCCTTGGTTATATATAAATGGATGCAATTGTCTCTGTCATTCTTCCCACTTTAGAGTACTTTGGTTTGTCTGAAGATATATGTTAGTGTATCTATATACACATAAATGTTTGTGTGACAAGAAAAAGGAATCTTTAATTTAGTTTGAACTTTCTGGTAATACTCATCTTTTAGCAGCAGGCATTCAGACTCAGCTGTCCTGAAAAAAAAAATGGTCTTTGCCTCCTTAAAGCCTCCTCTTATTGAAAAGCAGCTTCATTATTTTTGGAGGGTTCTCTTGTGAACATACAAATCATACAAAGAGACACATTTTCAGCTAACACAGTTTTGATTAAAAGGCAAAATCTATTAAGCTGATGTAGGGGTTCACTGTAGCATCACTTAGAATAGACCAGGATGAAGATTCATATGCCTGATTTTCCAGTATAGACTCAGATACAAATATATAGGTAATTATAAGGCAAGCAATATTAACTTGTCTGGAGGAGTAAGCAGGGGGGAGTTCTGGCATGCCATTATGTCAGATGTGGGGTAGTCAAGCACACAAAACAAAATGTGATACTCAAACATCAAATGACCAGCTAACTGTTCATAAGCAGGAGCCCTAAAGGGATGTATATGGAAAGATGAGACACCTCTTTGGAGAGGCAGACTGCCACCTCCAGAAACAGTGGAAGTGAGTTGTAGCCTTTTTTGCAGAGACAGGTTAAAAAAAAACAGAAGTGGATGTCACAGGGCCCAATTCTGAAAGGTGGTGTCGTGGTTTAAACAAAGTCAGCCATAAATCACGCAGTCGTTCTCTCGCTGCCCCCCTTTTCACCCTCCCCCTGCTCCCAGAGGGATGGGAAGGAGAATCAAAAGAATGCAACTCCTACGGATTGAGATAAGAACAGTCCAGTAACTAAGGTATAACACAAATCACTACTGCTACCACCAATAATAATAATGATAAAAGAAATAACAAGGGAAGAGAATACAACACCTCACCATCCACCGACCGAAAACTTGCCCCACCCTGCCTGACCAAGCACTGACCGATACCTCGTCCAACTGTGCAGTGCCCTAGCCCTTCCGGGTAACTGCCCCCAGTTTATATACTGGGCATGATGTGCTGTGGTATGGAATACCTCTTTGGTCAGTTTGGGTCAGGTGTCCTGTCTCTGCTTCCTCCCAGCTTTCCCTCCTCTCTGGCAGAGCATGAGGCTCACAAAGTCCTTGGTCAGTCTAAACATCTGAGCAGTAACTAAAAACATCTGTGTTATCAGCTCTGTTCCCAGGCTGAAAATCAAAACCACAGCACTGCACCAGCTACTAAGGAGAAAACTGACTGCTACTGCTGAACTCAGGACAGGTGGCTGAACTATTTTAACATAATTTTTGCATGTAATACTATTAAATAACTTTGAGAATCTCGACTGTAGTGCCTTCTAGGCAAGAACCAACTGTTCACAGGAGACAAAGGGTTGACTATAAAGGTTTGTATTTTAATGGAGTCTAAAGAAATTTATTATAAGATACTTTATACCTGGATTATACTTTAGTATAATATAGAAGATACATTTTTTTTTTTTTCTTAATAGTAAATGTTGAAATAAAAAGGAGAATAAACGGGTGAGCGAAAAGCAGTGAGATGAGGCAGGTTATGTCATCATCAGTCAGCATCTGCAGGTTCACCGAAAAAGGCATTTCATCAACTAAAAAAGGCAGATGCAAGACTGTATGTCTAGTACAATTACTCAAACCCAGCTGTTTAAAAAATACTGTTGGAAATGCAGATAATCAGAAAACATATTTACACAAATGAAAAGATTATAGAAGTACCTCAAACAGGTTCAGAGAAAGTGCAGAGATCCTCCTGCAATGCTTCAGGGAACAGGTAAACTTTGATAATAAAGACTGCTTTTGCTCCAGGAGAAACTGGATTTTAGAATTTCTAAAGGAACGATGTAATAGGTTTTAATAGGATGACATAAAAGTCAGAATAGCAATTCTGCGGAAGGATCATTAGGTACACATCGGACTTCCCCATCCAAGTACTAACCGAGCCCGACCCTGCTTAGCTTCCGAGATCAGACGAGATCGGGCGTTTTTTCAATAGTGTCCATTGTTAAGTCCACCCCTCGATCACGGGCCCATCTATATGTTGCATCTCTGCCCTGATGGCCTGAAGTGTCATGGGCCCACCGGGCCAAAAATAATTCACCCTTATGTTGCCAATCTAAGTCCATCTGAGCCACTTCAATCTTAGCAGCTTTATAGGGACTAGTCTTTAAAGAATGGCAGACTGCCACGTGCAGCGCCTCACTTGGATGTGTCTGCAGTCTTGGAAGCTTGACTACCCTACGTTCTCCTACAACTGGACCTTGAGCTTGTTTGGAGGTTCTAGCAGGGGAGCGCAGCTACCGTATACCCGTGACCGATGACCGGTACCGCCTCTATCGGGGAAGGTCGTCCTCTTCGACCGAGCGCGCAGCTTCGGGAGGGACGCACGTGGAGCGGTGAGGGAGGAAGGGGACACCCGCCTAGACAGCCAGACAGCTTGTTACCCACTCCCCCCCCTTCTTGCCCTCCCCCTACTCCTGGGGGAACGGAGAGGAGAATCAAAAAGAAATGCAACTCCCACGGCTTGAGATAAGAACAGTTTAGTAACTAAGGTACAATACGAATCACCACTGCTACCACCAACGACAACAATGATAAGAGAAAACAGCAAAGGAAAGGAGTACAATACCACGCGCCGAACCGCCAGTCCGACCCGGCCGACCCCCTCCCCTTCCGGGTTCCCCCCCAGTTCCCCCCTCGGCATGACGTGCTGTGGTATGGAATACCTCTTTGGTCAGTTTGGGTCAGGTGTCCTGTCTCTGCTTCCTCCCGGCCTCCCCTCCTCCCTGGCAGAGCATGAGACTCACAAAGTCCTTGGCCAAACCAAAACACCATTTTTATCAGCTTTGTTCCGAGCCCGAAAGTCAAAACACAGCACTGCACCAGCTACCAAGAAGGAGAAAAAATGACTGCTGCTGCTAAACCCAGGACAACAGATTAGGAAGAAAATAAGGGTGTTTTGAAAGTGAATGACTGTAGATAATAGTATAGAGCCTGTTAACTAGTACCCTTTTCACAGGTGTTTGAGTGAATGCCTATGTCTTGTGATTTACCTAGAATATTTCACTTTTGCAGCACAGAAAATAATTCTCCCAACCTAATACTCATTACACAGCAGGCTGAATTACCAGATTCTTCATCGTCATCATCCTGTGCAATAATCCTGCATATTCAGTTGTTGACACCACAACCAGCAGCCACAGCAATTAGTGACTCATCTGCACTTTTCATTTGGGAAGTTATCTTGTGAGCAAAGCTGTAAATTCTAAATCCTCTGTCTGCTGCACCACTGTTTTGACTAAGTGTTTGAAATCCACCTGAAACACAGTTTTTTTCCTCTTTTCTAAAGATTTTATTCTCTCCAAGCCAGAAGCTCAGATCACCCTGTACTAAGCACTGGGATTTGGACTAGTGGTTAGAACTCTCTGTATATGAGTTGATACAATTTGATGAAGATCTAGTTTCAGTTTGCAATAAAGTAATTTACATGAAGCTTAAGAGTGTGATCAAATGATATGTATGTGGAAACAGAAACAAGGCATTATTTTAAAGCTCTATGAGGAAATTGGTCCAGAGGTTCCTGAAATACTGTAAAGAGAATGTATCCATGGGTTACAGGAGTCACAGACCAGCCTCTGCAAAGAGGGGAATAAAGTCAACATCACACATGAATAATGTCTTACCAAGGAAGAGTTATAGTCTACATAAATTTATTAGCATGTTTTTAATTTGTAATCACACTCAAGGTGAGGATTTTCCTCTAGGGTATATGAGAAGAAAAAAACAAGATACAAACATTAGTGAGTGCATAGCAATTGCACTAATACATAACTGTTACTAGGCATCTTCACCAGAAGGCAGGATACAAAGTGTTCACATTCAGGTTTTTTAATTAGAACAAGTAATGGTTACAGTCATTAGAATAATATTATTTTACATAGGTGCTTGAATGAGTTCTCTGCAGATCCCTCATGGCTGCATCATCTTCCAGGAACTGGGAATAAAAATATAAGCTCTCCAGCTCCAACGGGGTGTGCAAAGTCTTACCTTTCTCCAGTAATGGGACCTGTATTCTGCAGAAAACATGACTGTATTTGAGCAAATGTGACAAGCAGTCAACATGTCAACATAAGAAATACAGCTACAGTCAGGAAAAGAAACCAACAGAAGAGGTTCGTGATTAAAAAAAGAGTTCTTTCTTGCTACTGACCTGTCTACTTACTGTCCACCCAGACCCACATGATGTGACCTGAAGATACATACACATTCTTACATTTCTGCTTCCACAGTTTAATTCTGTTACAGGATCTGTAGGCACATATCTTTTAGCACAGTGAAAAAGGCACTGAACAGTTTCCAGGTGTAATGGAACTGACAGCAGGCTGGAGAAGACAAGCCACATGCACAACAGGAAGAGAAGTTTTCAAGCTGTCAGAGGCACAGTGAAGGTCACTGTAACATACAGGAATGTCTTCCATCGTCAGACAAGCAATCAAATATGCTTTCCGGGGAAATCTTTAGAAAGCTATTTCCCAAGTGTTCTGGAGACTGACATTTTCAACTCCCAGACTTGCTGTCCTCATTGTGTGTAAAGTCACTTGTATGGGACACCCAAGGTATCCCAGGTACATCATTCAAAATGAGTACTCTGATTTAAGGTGCTCAAAACCTTAACATGTAAGATAAAGAGCTGAAAGAAAATTGCTACAAGATGTAACCAGGAGTGAGTCACTAAGGCAAAAGAAACTGAAGTGAAAACCAGAGGAATGTTCAAGTTCAGAGGGTGTGGAAAAATGCAAATCAAGACCTATCTCACTGTCTGCCTTTTCAGTTACATAGCGGTTTTGTCTCCAGTAGGTTGTAGGTAAAGAGTTGCATTCCACTAGCCAAAAGACACCGACAACAACAGAAAACCCAGACTGTAGATTACATGAGCCTGCCTGATCTGCTCAGAAACAGAGGTCCTTGAGAAAACAGAGCTTTCTATTCATTCCCAAGAAAATGATGATAACTGGGACAAAGCTGGGAAGAGCAGCATAGAAGAAGGGCACCAGGAACACCATCTGCAAAGGCTGATTTAATTTCCCATAGTTGGCATAACCACAGCAGGCTTTGTAACAGTGGCATCTTCCTCTTTCCATTGTGAAATGACAGTTTTCAGCTGCGTGTAGAAGTGCACTCCCTAGAGGAAAGTAGAGACACGTGAAGCAGATATCTGGCCTTATGAATTTTTGAGGTCTGTTTTAGTGGTGTATCAAACAGCTTTTGCTTTATCTACAAAAAGGTGATTGGGGACAATTCCTGTCAGCCTGTTCTTTTTACTAGCTCCCCAAAGATTCTGGTTCTGTAAGAAAGTTTGCTACTTAGTTCTTGCTCCCTTCTCAAGCTCCTAAAAAAAGGCTTGATAGAATTGGCTATTGTAACATGCATTATGGTGGCTGTGATCACTGGCTGCACTTCAGTTTCCTGATTGAGAGGGCTTCAAAGTCTCCTTACTAATGAGGTCTGACAACCATCTCGCCATTGCCTTTTGTAATGTGATTTATCAAAGTTCAACCCAATAGCACACTCCGAATCAGCAAGTTACCTGCTTGCCATAGAAATTGGCGTCACCTCTGAAAGAAGCACGGGAACCAGTGAAAGAAAACATGGGCAGAGGTACTGGGATTGGAACATTGACACCCACCTAAAAGAAAGGAAAGCTACCATATTAATCACAGAAGGATGATTAAGGAACATCCTTCCTTAAGGAACAGATTGCAGAACACTTTCTGAAAGCTACCACACTTTGTTTCCTTAAATCTGAGGCTGAGTACTGTTGGCTGAGTAGTCTCTTATCAGTCACTATAGCTGGATGGCTACCCATGGTAAATGGTGAGTACTAACAGCAACAATTTTAACTTGAACATACCTGCCCTACATCTACTAAGTGAGAGTATTTCCGGGCTGTGGCTCCATTGGTGGTGAAGATTGCAGTTCCATTTCCGTAGGGGTTGCTGTTTACCATCTCAATGGCATCATCCAAAGTATCTGCTTCCAGAACCACTAAGACAGGTCCAAAGATTTCTTCCTTGTAGCAAGTCATGTTTGGCTGCCAAGACAAACAGCAGAAAAAGCAGCTTGCATATAGAATATAATAGGGTAAAATAAAAATATCCTAGTAGATTGGATACAATAAACACGCATACTGCTAATGCTCTGGGCATTCCTTGGATCACCCATCATACTGCATTGCCAAAGGCCATCCTTCAGTCCTCCTTGCTTTTTCACTGTTTCCCATGCCCTGGCATCTACATAGTCCACTAAAAAGGGTACTGCTTCTCATCTCAAGAGCTCTTTCTGCTTTTACCACCTGCCTAACCTCACTTACAGGTCTACTTTGACCAAGGCTGATTAAGACTGATAGTTTAATTCAATTAATCCTATTAATTCAGGATAGTTTACTTCAGTTCTTGTTGACAAAGTGACTAGAACCTGCTGTCCAACTCAGTGTCCAGGATTTATGTCTGATAATTAGCACATGACACATCCAAAACCATCAGCTGGAGAGTACTTTAATCACTAACAGCTAGCACAGCAAACTACAAAACACTCACTTGACAAGTTTTACATAGCTTACTATGTTATTAACTACTCTGTAAGAAAACTAGGAATCATAAAACCGCAGTGAAACATTTGCTTTTGAATACCTAACAGTATTTATGACACACCACAGTAAAGTGAAGCATTTTAAGATTAATGAAAATGAGACAAGAAAATGCTGAGCTATATTAAAAGCCTGAGTTATGTCATAGCATAAAATTAATAATAGCATAAAACTAATAAAGTACAATAGCAGAATTATTAAAATTGGTTTGATCTCATGGAATCACTCACCGAAAGGCCCATGAAGAACTGATTACTTAAATATTAAGGAACCATACCAGCTAATTGCATAAACACAAAAGAATGAATTTAGGTATGAAAACTCACATGGATGTACCCGGTAAAGAATATTTGCTCGGAGTAGTGTCCATCTCTTGCACAACATGCATTATGTTGAGTGGCTCACTCAACAAAGTTATGGATATATTCGACAACCAAGAGATTTTTGTACATTATATTATTCTCATGAAGATTTCCAAGTATTTAACTTTTGCTTCTGCAAGTCCTTAAATTGCAAACTGCAAGAATGTATAACAGAGGAAGGAAAACTGCAGGTTTGGCTGTTCATACTCCTCCTTAGGCATCAGCTGCTAGCCACTACCACAGATAGTACACTATGCTCCATGGACAGTTAGTTTAACATGATATAAGCTGCCCGTATCTTCTTTTAGTTGACTGCAATCCGTTCAATTTAAGATTATTAACCTCATTCAGAGTATGTTGCAAATCTCTATCACCTTCACAACAGTATGACAATGAGTACTTCACTGGAATGGTGCAAGGGAAGGCTGAGCTGTTTAGGGGCTTTCTGTGTGGTGATTATTGACCCTGACTGATTTGAGTAACCCATTTTTTCAATTGTGCCTGCAATACACACTATCAAGCACTTGTTTTGGTTATCTTACCTTGACTTTGGCAAGGATCGTTGGCCCAACAAAATTGCCATTTTCATAACCCTTCACTTTGACATTACGTCCATCCAGAAGAAGGCTGGCACCTTCCTGTACTCCTTTCTCAATCAGATGGCAAACCCGCTCCTTAGCCTGGGGACTGATTAGAGGCCCTAGGTCTGCTCCAGGCTGGTCTCCTGTGAAGAGGCAGAGATGCCAAGTTTTTAACCCTGACAGCTTTGTCTTCACAAGCACCAAGGAGCTAACCACACTGGCAGGAAAAATGTGAAATTCCTGATGTTTCTGAGACACATAACAAAGATTTGAGACATTAATGAAGAAGAGTAATCGCCTTCAACTCTCATAATCAACAAGTAAGAGAAGCATAATTTTAGATCACTGGGAAGCCAAAATTCGACAATGGATTCTTCTCAGAAAGGAAACTCTTCCACTTTGCAGGACTTTATTGAACATAAATAAAAGATCATTATCCTAGTATTAACAAGCCTAGTTTTTCCAAAGTACTTGTTTCTATTTTTCCTTTTTATTGCAGCTTACTAAAAATGGGAAGGATCTCCCAAGTATATATATATAAATATAAATGGTAGGTTTGAGTTAACCATAACCACAAAACTCTAGTTAAAACAAGACCTATCCTGTAAGCCTTGCATCAGAGTCATACTACCAAGCCTTCCTACATATTCCTAACTCCTGAGTCTAGGGCTGTGTTCCCCAGTCCACACAATCTGCTAGCTCCTGCCTCTACATATTAAATCTATAGTGCAAATAGGTTCAAGAGGCACACTGCAACCGA